GAGAGCGAGCGAGGGGTGGAGGGAAGAGCGGCTCTGAGAGCGAGAGAGAGCGAGCGAGCGTGACAGGGAGGTTTGGGTGGGGGGCGAGGATGAGGCAGGGAGGGAGGGAGGGGCTGGGGATTTAGTGAAGGATGCAAACCGAGCGAGCAGCCGAGAAGACGGACGAGGTGGCAGAGAGGAGCGATGCCACGCAACGAAGAATAGACACGGGGGCGTGGGAGGGAGGGGGGGGAGAATGCGGGGGAGAGCGCGGGGGAGAGCGCCGATGATGTAAATGCGTGCGTGAGGGGGAGAGCGGAGAGGCCCACTTTGTCTGACTAAACACGTGCCGTCGGGGTGTACGTGCAGGCGGGAAGCGGGCGGGGGGGGGGGGGGATTTAGACGCTTGCGCTCTCCGTGAATATTACTCTTTGTTTCGCCGTTTGATGTGTGAGTACCGGGGGAGGAGGGGGAGGGAGGGAGGAGGAGGGATGGGGGTGGAGGGAGGCCGAGGCTGAGAGGGGCGGACTGGAGAAGAGGGAGGGTGGTGGGGTGGTTTGTCATAGCTACAGTCCATAAGAGACGGAGGGAAAAAGGGGGGGGGGGAGGGGTTTGGGAGTGGGGGGGGCTGAGCGGTTGAAGGGCGACGCGGTGGAGGTGGAGGAAGGGGGTTGTTGGGCGCTTCTGTGGGATGGTGGTGGGGGGGGTAGCAGCGGAGTGAGATAAATGGATGTAGGTGGATGCTGCTGCTGCGGTGGTGGTGGCGGTGTCTTCACGGAGATGTACACGCAGAGCGCGCAGATAAAGACACGCGGGCACGTGCACGCGGCACGACAAGATTGAGGGTGGCGCGACACCAAAGGCAAAGCTACCCCCGTGTAGCCTCGGCACACTTTTGGGGCAAGTGCCATTAGCGAGAAGCACATATGATGAAAGCCGGCACGACGGTGGGAGTGGCCAGCACCACCACGCACGGCCGCCTTTGTCTCACCACAATGGCGAAGTTCACATATCGCACCACCTAGACACTCGTTTGAGGTTGAGTCGACCTAGGGGCGGCCCAGGAACGGCTCAGAGTGTTGTTACTGGCTTTGGCCGTGAGCGGGAATGGGACATACGCGCGTACACACGTGCATAGACCAATTCAAATAGGTACGCACAAAACGGACATACACACATAGAAACACACAGGAACACACAAAAGGCAAAGATTCCCCGTGTAGCCTTAACAGACTGCGGGAGCAAGTGTCGTTTGTGAGCACCTTTGAAGGCCGGCACGGCACACGAGGGATTGGGTGGCCAACACCACGCCCGGCCGCGTTATTCTCCTTAGTGACGGTGTTTACACATCGCACCAGGTACTCATTTGAGGCTGAGACGACCTAGGGGAGGCCCGGGACCGGTTCAGATAATCGTCACTGGTGTTGGCCGTGAGCGGGAATGGAACCCGGGTCGCCGGGTTCTTAGCGCAGCGTAGCGCTAACCGCTGCGACAAAGACGAAGATCCCCCCGTGTAGCCTGGAGCAGACTGTCGGGGGAAGTGCTTTTAGCGAGTAGCACCTATGAAGACCGGCACAGCACACGAGGGGGTCGCTGGCCAGCACAACGCCCGGCCGCCTTTGTCTCCCCAGCGCTCCCAATATTTAATACACACCGCAGCGGGTTACTCATTCAAGACCGAGTCGACTTAGGGGGAGGGGAGCCCAGGAGCGGTTCAGATAACCCGCCGCCGCCGCCTGTTATTCGGTGGTCGTGAGCGGGACATCCGAGACTCGAGTTGGCCGGGTTCGTGACGCGGCGCGCTAACCACTGCGCCACCGCTCCGCACAGTGGTGCTCACCCGTGGAAGGAAATCCGTTCGCGTGCCGTCATTAACGCGGCGCTCCGCGCTCAGCTCTGCTGTCAGGACACTACCTCGGTGCGAGAAAGCCGATCGCAAATGACATCGGAAAAAAACTCCGCGGTTAAGCAGCAGTAGCAGCCGCCGCTCCCGGAGACGTCGAAGCCGCCATCGTCAGCGAGCGGCGAGGCGGTCGTGAGCCCCCCGTGACCGCCCTCCTCCCCCTGCCGGGGTCACGTGGAGTGGGCCTCCCGGGGGGGATCCGGCGCCGCGTGCCCCACTTTGACCGGCGTCCTGTGCACGTGTGTGCGTGTTGCGGCGACCCCTGTGAGTGTGTGTGTGTTGCGGCGACCCCTGTGAGTGTGTGTGTGTTGCGGCGACCCCTGTGAGTGTGTGTGTGTTGCGGCGACCCCTGTGAGTGTGTGTGAGTTGCGGCGTCCCGTGCATGTGTCTTGCGGTGACCGCTGCGTGTGTGTGTTGCGGTGACCCCTGCGTGTGTGTGTTGCGGCGTGTGTGTGTTGTGGCATCCCTTGCGTGTATGTGTTGCGGCGTCTCATGTATGTGTGTTGCGGCGTCCCGTGTGTGTGTCTATTCAAGGCCTATGATACCATCAGTAGGCCTGGGCTCTGGGTTGTTCTTCGTGCTTTCGGAGTCCCTGAATCTGTTCACGATCATTAAGGACCTTCATGATGGTGATTGGGCCTGGGTAAAACTATGTGGTCGGGAGTCGGAGCCATTCTCTGTTCACCTTGGGGTGCGACAGGGATGTCCTGTGGCTCCCACATTATTTAACATATTTCGACCATGTTGTTCGTGAATCCTTCGATGGCTGTGCCGGAGGAATTTCCATCTGGTACAGATACAATAGGAGGCTGATCGATGCCCAGGTGCGGTCAAGGGATGGTTCCCTATTGGTCAACCATGTTACATATGCCGATGATCTGGTAATTGCTGCTCACTCAGATGAGAACTTGGAGGCGCTGCTGCTGAACCTGGAGCGTGCCACTAAGAGGTGCGGCCTTACCATCAGCCCCACCAAAACTGAACACCTGCCTGGGTATTTTGTACCATCGGACACTCCACCCCCACAACTCCCAATTGGTGATGGGGCAGTTGTGGCGAGAGTGGAGAGTTTCCCATACTTGGGCAGTGTGCTCGTGACCGGCTCCGGTTTGACAGCAGAGGTCTCACTCCGAATCAGTCGAGAGGCATTATCTTTTCATCGGTTCCGTAACGCTGTGTGGAAGCTACCTGGTCTGTCGCTCCACACGAAGCTTCAGGTATTCTCGGCCACGGTCATGCCCTCCCTTCTCTACGCTTGGTAAACATGGACCCCCCTAATGGAACATTTTCGTCGGTTAGAAACATTTAGGCTGGCCTGCCTACGAACCATTCTGGGTTTAACTAGGCTGGATTGTGTGAGCTCAGAAATCCTTGAAAGATCTGGACAAAGTCCCATCGGTGAGCTTCTCCGGCAGGCAAGGCTGCATTGGCTGGGTCATGTAGCCCGCATGCCCAGCCACCGAATGCCTAAAGAGCTTTTGTTCAGCTGTATCGAGGGGGCTAAATGGGCGTGGCATGGGCTAGAGAAGAGATGGAGTGATGTGGTACGAGAGGATGTGTAGCTGAGTTGACTTGCCGATAACTGGTTCCAGCGGTGTCAAGATCGGCCTCTGTGGAGGCTATTGAAGGACGCTACTGGGCAGTTGGAGGCAGTCGCTCTCCAGCGACGCTCACAACAACGAGCGGAGCGCTTGGCGGCTAAAACGGCAAGTTGGCACATTAGGAAGCACAGGTGGTGCATCGGCCAGTCATCTCAGTCAGTCGACCCTTGACACCTGGGTCTGCCAGCGGGCGTTCGACACTTCACGTGGCCTTAACGTGCACGTAGTCTGGCACAAACGCCGTGGCGACGTCACCGCCACTTAGTGGCGAATGGCGATTGTTGTTGTTGTTGTTGCGGCGTCCCGTGCGCGTGTGTGCGTTGTGGCGACCCCGCGTGGCGTCGGAGATAGGCCACGAGACGGGAGGGTCCGTTCGCGAGTCGCGGGAAGAAATGCGTCGCCTCCCCCACCGTGGACGCAGCTATCACGGAATTGCTTCAGAGATTTCATCAACTGACATTTTTGTACATATATACATTCGTACACACGCCGATGTTCAAGATGTCTAGCGAAGTATTGCGCATGTGCGGCTGAACGGGCGGTGATGGGCGGTGCTTGATGACGTCATCGACATAATTGGGGCGTGGCATGTGGTGGGTTTCCCACATTCGTAAATGTTTAACCGGAGCCTCCAGCGAGTAATCGAACACAGAGGAACTCATTGTGACATTGTGTTCGTGATTTGACTCGGTCCACAAATCACCCTCGTTGACCATTGCAATCTCCACGGTGTGGCGAGGAGTCTCATCCAGCAGTGGATTGATCACGGCCGATGATGTTGATTATGCGGGGGTCTCAGTGGTATAGCGAGGGGCTCGCAATTGGAAAGATGCGAGTTCAAATCCCGGTTTCGGAGGGTTGGGGTGGGGGGGGCGGGAACACGGCCCATCATCCTTCCGGAGCCGATAAAGTAGGTACTACTGTGTAGGGAAATCAACAGCGGTTGTCCTATAAACAGCCTCGCTCATGTCATCGGAACACGTGGAATTTTCTCGACTCTCTCAAGAGTGTAAATAGTAAATACGTGATAACCACTTCGTTCATAAACAAAACTAAACGTCTATTTATTTATTTTACCAGGCACAGCCTACTGAGGTACGTAGCTCTTTTTCAGAAACGACCTGGCCACAAATGATAGCTCAGCGAAGTGGCTTATCATCATCACGTGGAAATGTGTAGCAGTTAAATTATCTAAACGCGTGACGTTGATTCTAAATTTGGAGGGAATAACCGTAAGACCAAGAGAAAGATCCACGCGACATTGGGGAGAGAGACACCGCAAACTCCAAATATACAACAGGCGTCAAGGTCGGGATCCAACCCACCACCTCCTGTATACCAGGCGAGGTAGTGAACATCTTGGCACCATTTTGCTGCGTAGTGCTCATGTGAGCAATAAATCACGGACTTTATTCACAACGATGATGATGACGATGGTGATGACGATGGTGGCGATAAAAATGATGACGATGATGATGACGACGGTGACGATGGTGTCGCGTGTCTCCTACTCGCAGATGCAGATCTTTCTCCACGACACGAACCGGACGGACGCGTGGGGGGTGCCCCCCGCCGCCCCCTCCGCTGCCGGCGATGTGGGGGGCAGCAACGCGCACGCCCTCGCCGTGCTCTTCCAGGTGAGAGGCGCCAACGGGGCGGTCGGTTTGGTGGTGGTGCTGCTGCTGCTGCTACTGCGTTGGCAGCGGTGCACAGGCACAGAGAACAACAGCAACAACAACGCGCCCAGAACATTCATCAATAACAACAACAGACCCGTAATGGAGGGTTTTGGGTTAGATCGCGTCGATATAAAAGTGTCGTTAAACCCGCAACCACCCGACACAGCCAATCAGTAAGGGTTGTCACGTGAACAACACGTGCCAGTTCGTTACTGGTACAGCAAACCGGTGTGTTGGAGGGTAAACCCACAACATTGACGAGTAACGAATTGGCATGTTTTGTATACGTGACAAACCTGACTAATTGCCTGTCGGGTGGTGGCGGGTTTAACGACACAATTATGAGATCTAGCCCAAAAACCTGTGTTATTGGTCTGTTGTTGTTATTGACGAATAATGGATAATATTGGTCGCGAAAGCCTACGTGTTAAACTAACAACAATAGAATAAGAATATTTATTTACACTGGAGGAATCCGAAGAGCTATAAAGCTCTTTTCCCAGTATGTGGTCTGAAATTTCCAACAACATAAAATACATAAACACTATAGGAGTGCAATGTATAATGAAAATAAAAAAATAACTTTAAAAAATTACAAATAAAACTTCACAATTGTTTTCATCTTACTCGGTAAAGCCCAATGATAGCTGAACGAATTGGCTGATCGCGTGTTGACGTGTCGACCTTCATTGGTGCTGCTCGCTAACAGCACTTGCCCCAACAGTCACACGGAAAATATAATTACATATAAAATATAATTACATATAAAATAGGCGTTGTTTCAGGCAATGTTTATTTTCTACATTTTTCGAGAAAGTTGGCCAGGACTGGGCAAAATACAGCTCACTTTTCACCCAGGCGAGCGGAAAGTGCAGACTCTAAGTATTTCTAACCTAACATTGAAACTAATAATAACATATTCCAGAATCACAGTTAACAGACAAGCAACATATTATACAAGTGAAAAGAAGTATTAAAATGACATTTTCCTACAGTAGAAAATCCCATCGATGATCCTCATACAGTGAGGGAAAAAGTATTTGATCCCCTGCTGATTTTGTACGTTTGCCCACTGACAAAGAAATGATCAGTCTATAATTTTAATGGTAGGTTTATTTATTTGAACAGTGAGAGACAGAATAACAACAACAAAATCCAGAAAAACGCATGTCAAAAATGTTATAAATTGATTTGCATTGTAATGAGGGAAATAAGTATTTGACCCCCTCTCAATCAGAAAGATTTCTGGCTCCCAGTTGTCTTTTCTACAGGTAACGAGCTGAGATTAGGAGCACACTCTTAAAGGGAGTGCTCCTAATATCACCTTGTTACCTGTATAAAAGACACCTGTCCACAGAAGCAATCAATCAATCAGATTCCAAACTCTCCACCATGGCCAAGACCAAAGAGCTCTCCAAGGATGTGAGGGACAAGATTGTAGACCTACACAAGACTGGAATGGGCTACAAGACCATTGCCAAGCAGCTTGGTGAGAAGGTGACAACAGTTGGTGCGATTATTCGCAAATGGAAGAAACACAAAATAACTCTCAATCTCCCTCGGCCTGGGGCTCCATGCAATATCTCACCTCGTGGAGTTGCAATGATAATGAGAACGGTGAGGAATCAGCCCAGAACTACACGGGAGGATCTTGTCAATGATCTCAAGGCAGCTGGGACCATAGTCACCAAGAAAACAATTAGTAACACACTATGCCGTCAAGGACTGAAATCCTGCAGCGCCCGCAAGGTCCCCCTGCTCAAGAAAGCACATATACATGCCCGTCTGAAGTTTGCCAATGAACTTCTGAATGATTCAGAGGACAACTGGGTGAAAGTATTGTGGTCAGATGAGACCAAAATGGAGCTCTTTGGCATCAATTAAAACTCGTCATGTTTGGAGGAGGAGGAATGCTGTCTTTGACCCCAAGAACACCATCCCCACCGTCAAACATGGAGGTGGAAACATTATGCTTTGAGGGTGTTTTTCTGCTAAGGGGACAGGACAACTTCACCGCATCAAAGGGACGATGGATGGGGCCATGTACCGTCAAATTTTGGGTGAGAACCTCCTTCCCTCAGCCAGGGCATTGAAAATGGGTCGTGGATGGGTATTCCAGCATGACAATGACCCAAAACACACGGCCAATGCAACAAAGGAGTGGCTCAAGAAGAAGCACATGAAGATCCTGGAGTGGCCTAGACAGTCTCCAGACCTTAATCCCATAGAAAATCTGTGGAGGGAGCTGAAGGTTCGAGTTGCCAAACGTCAGCCTCGAAACCTTAATGACTTGGAGAAGATCTGCAAAGAGGAGTGGGACAAAATCCCTCCTGAGATGTGTGCAAACCTGGTGACCAACTACAAGAAACGTCTGACCTCTGTGATTGCCAACAAGGGTTTTGCCACCAAGTACTAAGTCATGTTTTGCAGAGGGGTCAAATACTTACTTCCCTCATTAAAATGCAAATCAATTTATAACATTTTGACATGCGTTTTTCTGGATGTTTTTGTTGTTATTCTGTCTCTCACTGTTCAAATAAACCTACCATTAAAATTATAGACTGATCATTTCTTTGTCAGTGGTCAAACGTACAAAATCAGCAGGGGATCAAATACTTTTTTCCCTCACTGTACCATGCGTGCCACTGCTGCTCCACCGCTGCTCGTCTTGGTATTTATTTTTTAAAAACATCGCGATCCGCCGACTGAACGCCGCGTGGGTAAATACCCCTTCATCGAGCATCATGCATCATGCACACGTCACCTACTACTACAACAGTACGACCACTGCAATACGACTAATACAGGTGCATGGTTTATTCACGAACTTGCTCTCCGCGATTGTTTTTGTCTAAACCGCGAGTCACGTCTGGAACTCTGCAAGCGACGCGTCCCCGCTCACGCTGAGAGAGGGAGATGAGAGCCGTGGCGACCGCGTGGCCCGCACTCCCGACGGTGCCGCTGCGATTTCATTAGCGGGGTACTGCACGCGGGGGTCGGAGGTCAAAAGGGCTCCAGGGTCGGACGCGCAATCCGTACCCCCCCCCTCCACCTCGCCCCCGGCACGCTGGCCGCACCTCCTCAGACCTTACATCCTCTTACCCCTCCTGCTCCGCCTCCTACATCGCCTCCTCTGCCTCCCTCGTCCTCCACTCCCTTGATATCACGCGGTATGCAGCGTGGCCGCAGTGGTAACGCTTCGCAACCGCGCAGCATGAAGCCAATCTGTTCGATTCCAGACGCGGAACGCCTGCCTTTGTTTTCGGACGAACCTATGTCCTGCAAATTTTTTCAGCGGAGAGTGAGTGTGTGTGGTGTGTGTGTGTGGTGTGAGTGTACAGTATGTGTGTGCTGAGAGTGTGGTGTGCGGTGTGTGTGCGGAAGAGTGTGTCAGTGAGAGTGAGTGGGGAGGTTGTATCTTCTCTCCTGCTATTCTGAATGGGATTTATCCAGTTTCCTCCCGCAACTAAACACACCACAAACACAGAGGGGATCTGCTATTGGCCACAACAATATCCCAATGCTGAACAATCCCCCTGCAAAGTACTTCATTATTAATATTCACCAGAAACAAATACATGCAAGGTTTTGTTTGTTATGATTAATGTCTGATCATTCTTGATAAGTTTGACATTGATGGACCTCCCCCACCCCTCTACACCTCCCTACGAAGTTTCTAGATCTACCTCTGACCGTGTTTCAGCCTCATCACTCACCCTCGCCGCTCTCCCTCACCGCCCCCCTCCCCAGGTCTCCAAGCAAGAGAACCCGGCCTACTCGGCGATCATCTCCGGCTTGGCGAGTGTGGCTCACCACGGTGAGTCTCCCACACCAGACCCCCCCCCCCAATCCCCCCCCCGTGCCCCACAGCTACGTGGGGGACTCAGAGCCCCCCCCCCACCTAACGGGATATCGCGTGAAGTCCTCGCCACATGACAGCAGTAACGAACGGATGGGTCGAGTCGTGTTCGACATCCGCCCTCCTCCTTTACGCCGGGGCGAGTGCTCGCATGCAATCTCGAACCATTGGGATTGGGCACCCCCAGCGGCAGCTGGCGCTGTGCAGCGCCAGGTCACTCGGCGTGCTGGCCTGCAAGAGGCCATTTGTCTGCCAGCATTGGGGGAATGATGGCTCTGTTCGATCCCAAGTGAGTCATTTGCGGTATCGTTTTTTTGTTTCGAACACAGTACATGTTTTGAACCGTGACGCCGGCACACAATGGCCTACTCGCTTACGAATGACGTCACGGGATCTATACACACGTACTCTATATACTGTACATATATACAGTAGATACTATATATACAATACAACGGCCGCTGTGAAGCAGACGTCCGGCACTGAGAAGAGCTCAACGATGTCTCGAGCAGAGCGCGCGGAGGACCGTGGCGTCCAGGGAGGCACGGGTTCACCCATCGTGTGAGTTGTTACGTCACGGGCCGTGGGCGTGGGGGGCACGTGTTTACCAAACATCGGGCGCGCGAGGCACGTCACGGCGGAGGGGGATCCGGCGGTCACTGCCGGGGGAGGTTGTGTCCGCCCGTGGCGGGCAGAGCGCGAGGCGTGGAATCTCCTGGGCGGAAGCGTCGCGTTCGCTCCTGCCACGTGGCCTGCATAGCGCTCTCCGTGTGTGGAGATCACAGCCTGGTGCTGAGTTCGGTTTGAGGGCGCTCGGCCCCGCTAGCAGTGGCCCGTGGCCAGCTTCCCTGATGGAAACGGCGTTCTGGTCAGATCTCAAAGCCATGGACGGGAGGTTGCTCAGGAACACCGCGTGTTGTCGCCTTGAGCTGTTAACAACTCGGGAGATGACAGTGGAGCAACGGGATCGTTGAATCCATCCGTGCGGAGCTTTGAGTTTCACCATCCTCGTGTGCGTCGCGGGTTTTCCCCCGGGTTCTCCGGCTCCCTCATTATTTTAATGAAATTGGCCGAACGTCCGAATGCCGCAGCACCCCCCATTCTCCCTCGCTGAATAAGTAAACACCCTGGCATTTTGAGAATTGGTGTCTTAAGACGGACGCACGGAATGTCGTGGCAGGGTTAAGTGCGAAAGAGGCGGGCGAGTGCTGTCGATGTGATTGGGGCAGGATGGAGGGGGCGGTTGCCCACACGGGCATTGAAGTCGTCTTCACGAGTTCGGCAACCAAAGAATTGCAGTGGTGTACAACGCCACGCGTTCGTCGATCACAACACCGCGTGGTCTTCACAGGGGAAAACATTGATACATAGAAGGGCCATTGCCCGAAACGTCATCCGTGATAAATATACGTGTTATTGACGGACGTGTGAGAATGTCTATGACCTATTAAGTCGCCATTCCGGCGTGAATAAGGTGCTCGCTAACGGCACTTTCACGAGCACTCTGCATGCCGATGACGTGAGGGGGAGGGAGGTGAGGGAGATGAGGGGGAGGGAGGTGAGGGGGTGGGAGGTGAGGGGGAGGGAGGTGAAGGGGAGGGAGGTGAGGGGGAGAGAGGTGAGGGGGTGGGAGGTGAGGGGGTGGGAGGTGAGGGGGTAGGAGGTGAGGGGGAGGGAGGTGAGGGGGTGGGAGGTGAGGGGGAGGGAGGTGAGGGAGAGGGAGGTGAGGGGGAGGGAGGTGAGGGAGGTGAGGGGGAGGGAGGTGAGGGGGTGGGAGGTGAGGGGGTAGGAGGTGAGGGGGAGGGAGGTGAGGGGGTGGGAGGTGAGGGGGAGGGAGGTGAGGGAGAGGGAGGTGAGGGGGAGGGAGGTGAGGGGGTGGGAGGTGAGGGGGTGGGAGGTGAGGGGGGTGGGAGGTGAGGGGGAGGGAGGTGAGGGAGAGGGAGGTGAGGGGGAGGGAGGTGAGGGGGTGGGAGGTGAGGGAGGTGAGGGGGTGGGAGGTGAGGGGGAGGGAGGTGAGGGGGAGGGAGGTGAGGGGGAGGGAGGTGAGGGGGTGGGAGGTGAGGGGAGGGAGGTGAGGGGGTGGGAGGTGAGGGAGGTGAGGGGGAGGGAGGTGAGGGGGTGGGAGGTGAGGGGGAGGGAGGTGAGGGGGAGGGAGGTGAGGGGGTGGGAGGTGAGGGAGGTGAGGGGGAGGGAGGTGAGGGGGTGGGAGGTGAGTGGGTGGGAGGTGAGGGGGAGGGAGGTGAGGGGGAGGGAGGTGAGGGGATGGGAGGTGAGGGGGTGGGAGGTGAGGGGGTAGGAGGTGAGGGGGAGGAGGTGAGGGGGTGGGAGGTGAGGGGGAGGGAGGTGAGGGGGAGGGAGGTGAGGGAGGTGAGGGGGAGGGAGGTGAGGGGGTGGGAGGTGAGGGGGTAGGAGGTGAGGGGGTGGGAGGTGAGGGGGAGGGAGGTGAGGGGGAGGGAGGTGAGGGGGGTGGGAGGTGAGGGGGTGGGAGGTGAGGGGGTGGGAGGTGAGGGGGAGGGAGGTGAGGGAGAGGGAGGTGAGGGGGAGGGAGGTGAGGGGGTGGGAGGTGAGGGAGGTGAGGGGGTGGGAGGTGAGGGGGAGGGAGGTGAGGGGGAGGGAGGTGAGGGGGAGGGAGGTGAGGGGGAGGGAGGTGAGGGGGTGGGAGGTGAGGGGAGGGAGGTGAGGGGGTGGGAGGTGAGGGAGGTGAGGGGGAGGGAGGTGAGGGGGAGGGAGGTGAGGGGGAGGGAGGTGAGGGGGAGGGAGGTGAGGGGGTGGGAGGTGAGGGAGGTGAGGGGGAGGGAGGTGAGGGGGAGGGAGGTGAGGGGGAGGGTGGTGAGGGGGTGGGAGGTGAGGGGGTGGGTGGTGAGGGGGAGGGTGGTGAGGGGGAGGGAGGTGAGGGGGTGGGAGGTGAGGGGGAGGAGGTGAGGGGGAGGGAGGTGAGGGGGAGGGAGGTGAGGGGGAGGGTGGTGAGGGGGTGGGAGGTGAGGGGGAGGGTGGTGAGGGGGTGAGGTGTTTCTGAGTGTGGGCGTGATGCGGCCACTTACGCCACCTTTGAGCTCTCCACTTTAAACTAAAACTACGAACTATTTTTTATTTTACCAGGTGAGGCCGCAATGAGCTATGCAGCTGTTTTCAAAAGCGATCTGGCTACCACAAATGATAGCTCAACAAAATGGCTTATCGTGCGGAAATGTATAGCAGCCAAACATTCTAAACGCATGTTGTTTATAAATGTGGAGTGGGAAACCAGGAGGACCTGGATAAAAACATGCACTGCGACCACGGGGAGAGAGACACCGCAAACTACAAATATACAGCAGCAGCAGCAGGCGTCAGGGTCGAGATCGAGCTCACGTCCTCCTGTACACCAGGCGAGGGAGTTAACATCTCATAGCCACCGTAGCGCCGTAATGACCCATGGCGGGATTCTGTTTAAGTTGGAAGCTTCTCCTGCTGCTGCTGCTGCTGCGTGTCAACTGTGCAGCAGCAGCAGCAGCAGCGAGCAGTTTCGGGATCTGGCGCAGTGCCAGGCGCGGTGGCACAGGCGAAGACATGAAACGGCCGTGATGACACGGGGAGCTGAGTGATTATCGTCATCGTGATTATTCTTGTTCCCGGGGTCGCCCGGGTTAAACTGCCACCGCCCCCTTGCGGCCCCACTGCGCGGAGCCCGCACGGTTGCTGCGGCCCACCGCTGTTTTAGCATTCCCGGGACGGTCGGCACGGCCCGTACCAGCCGCCCTCTCCGGCGCCGCCCGCTTCGTAAATCTCTGATTAACGTCTTACTGGCGGCGCACGGCGTGCCCCTAATGACGCATTCATATTTCACGAGGCGCCTCCCGCCGAACGTCGCCGCGCGCCGGCAATTAACGCGCAGCCGTCGCGAGCGGCGGGGCGAGCGCAGTGGGGGGGGGGGGCGCCCAGCGTGGGGGTCGCGTGGGCCGCGGTGGCGCGCGCGGGTGGCGCGTGCCCCCCCCAACCCCACCCCACCCCACCCCCCACTCCCTTCCCGCCAACGTCGCGGGCGGGAAGAAAATTCTCGCGCGCAAATGAAGGAATTTTGCAAACGGATTCGAGAGGGAAAAACAAGTGCTTATTGTCTTTTAGTAATTGCGTCAATTAGCGGCACACAGATTCAAATCCTCCCACCACCCCCCAAATTAATTGGGCCTGAGCGGCGCGGAATGAGAGAGCGTCACGAAGCTGAGTGTAGCTGTGTGGAGGAGCTGTAGCTGAGGGGACACGGGGAGGCTGAGTGTAGCTGTGTGGAGGAGCTGTAGCTGAGGGGACACGGGGAGGCTGAGTGTAGCTGTGTGGTAGAGCTGTAGCCGAGGGGACACGTGGAGGCTGAGTGTAGCTGTGTGGAGGAGCTGTAGCTGAGGGGACACGTGGAGGCTGAGTGTAGCTGTGTGGAGGAGCTGTAGCTGAGGGGACACGGGGAGGCTGAGTGTAGCTGTGTGGAGGAGCTGTAGCTGAGGGGACACGGGGAGGCTGAGTGTAGCTGTGTGGAGGAGCTGTAGCTGAGGGGATACGGGAGGCTGAGTGTAGCTGTTTGGAGGAGCTGTAGCTGAGGGGATACGGGGAGGCTGAGTGTAGCTGTGTGGGGGAGCTGTAGCTGAGGGGACATGGGGAGCTGAGTGTAGCTGTGTGGAGGAGCTGTAGCTGAGGGGATACGTTGAAGCTGAGTGTAGCTGTGTGGAGGAGCTGTAGCTGAGGGGACACGTGGAAGCTGAGTGTAGCTGTGTGGAGGAGCTGTAGCTGAGGGGACATGGGGAGCTGAGTGTAGCTGTGTGGAGGAGCTGTAGCTGAGGGGACACGTGGAGGCTGAGTGTAGCTGTGTGGAGGAGCTGTAGCTGAGGGGACAGGTGGAAGCTGAGTGTAGCTGTGTGGAGGAGCTGTAGCTGAGGGGACACGTGGAGACTGAGTGTAGCTGTGTGGGGGAGCTGTAGCTGAGGGGACAT